AAATCTTATATGGGATCAAAATATTCCTGATCTGATTTTTGACACTGTATGTACAACAAGATTTTCATACTGTTTTCCTTCCTCCCTCCCTTCCTATTTTTTTTTTTTGCATATTGTATTTTTAAGGGGAAAATTTCTTCCTGTTTCTACCTTGAAGCTGTTTTCCTGAAATGCATATAAACAGGGGAGTCCAACTAGAACCAGCAGAGGGCAGAATAACATTTGTCACTGGAATGTGTTTGCTCATGCGGTTTGTCAACAGTAAGGAAACAAAATAACTCTAGGTATCTATGGGTCTTAGAACATTTGGTTAATTAACATAAGGCCATTTTATGCGTATCCTTAATGAACACAGTTAAAGTTTTTGTTTTTACCAACACTCAACCATTTAAATAACCCTACACACCCCAGACTATTTGGGGGAATCCCACCACAGCCCCATTTTGTAGCAACATAAAATTTCAGCCTATGCATACACACTGTTTCACCCTTTCCCTTCAATCCAACTTGTGGCATCCCTGTTTCCTCACTCAGCAGTTCTAGTGCATGTGAGTAGTCAACTTGCTTTCAAACTTCATTGGTAGGTATGTGGCATCATTGGTCTAGACCACCAACGTAATTTTGTTTGGTAGTTGATCATCTCTCCTGAGTGATCACAAAACACCTCTCCATGGAACAGATCCTTGAGGAAGGTCTGCTAATTACAACAGGGATAAGTTATTTCACAGTGTCTTTATATGTTCTCCTAGAGCAGTGGTTTTCACCTTGGTTTCATTTTAGAATTACATGAAAAGTTTTAAACACGCTGATGCTCAGGACCCAGTTTATTTTAGGATTAAAAGGCATTCTTAACCTTTAAAAATAATTTTTGACAAGGCAAGTGAAAAATGAGAAAGATGCCAAACTTATTTTTTGAGACTAACATAAAACTGATTCTAGAAGTAAAGAAGGATGAAACCGAACAAGACAAAAAAAACCCCACTACAGATAGAAAATTATTTATGTATAGCTACAAGTAAAATGTCAAAATAATCCATAAGCATGTTAGCATTTTTGTTTTTCCAGGGATTCTAGAATAGTCATAAAGAATCTATTACTGTATTTTAGTACATTAAGACACTTGTGCTCAAATTAAAAAACAATATAAAGTTCCTATACATAAATTCTTTTTGTTGTTGTTGTTGGGGTCTCACTCTGTCTCCCAGGCTGGAGTGCAGTGGCATGATCATGGACTCATGGAAACTTTGACCTCCTGGACTCAGGTGATGCTTCCACCTCAGCTTCCTGGGTAGCTGGGACTGCAGGCATGCACCATCACGCCTGGTAGCTAATTTTTTGTAGAGATGAGGTCTCATTATGTTGCCTAGGCTGGTCTCTAACTCCTGGGCTCAAGCAGTCCTTTCACCTTGGCCTCCCCAAGTGCTGAGAATAAAGATGTGAGTTCCTGTGCCCAGCCTGGAGATCATTAATAGTGGAAAAATATTAATTGCACTCAGATTGGATATGTCCAATAAACTATTGCTGTGAAGAGGCAGCGATAGAAAAAAAAATTATCCTCATCAACTAATTCCTATTTAGGATGCTCTCTTTTCTCCAAATGTCAAAGGAAATATTAAATCAGTAACACCAAGGAAACTATGACTTCATCTGTCTGCCAAGGCTATCAAGAAGTAGAGGTGTGACTTACCATGTGTAATCAAAAGACCAGCAGCATCAGCATCATCTGAGAATTGTTAGAAATGCAATTACTCAGGCCACATCACAGACCTATTGGATCAGAAGCATTGGGGTGTGTCATGCAATCTGTTTTAACAAACCCTCATGTGACTCTGATCCATGTTGAAGGTGGGGCTTAATTTAGAGCAGATGATAAGCACTGTAAGACAAACCTCTACAAGAGAACATATTTGTTGCTCTTCTTTTGTATTTCAAAAATAATTTTTTCCTGATTTAAAAATGAATCCTTATTCATGGGAGAAACATTCAATCCAAAAAGTGCAAGTGTACTCCAATTTTATCCTCCAAATAGTACTGCTTTAGTGCATCTTTTTCAGACATTTTTCATGAATACTTTATATTTGTTGAAAATATGGTGAGGCTATTCTTATTTTGTTACCTGATTTTTGTCTTAATTTGTTTAGTGTAATACATGTAGATGTAACAGGGATATGACCCAGTCTGTGAGTGCAGCTGAATTTACCTGTACCCTGAGCCCACCCATTTGCTACTAGTCGGGGGTGCAGCCTTTTAAAGTATTTATCCTTCCCAGTATCTCCAAGTTTAGAATTCTAGTTTTAAACTTTTAAAGGAGTACATATGTTTAAAAGCAAACTATTTTTACTTTGTGCTAGGCATTGAGATAGTTATACAAATGGGATACCAACTTAATGAAGCTAAATGTTTGGGAAAAAATTAGCATGTAAAGTATTGGTTTAAGCCTCTAAATATGACTATTATCTGCAAAAGAGTTTCCACTTGACAGTTTCATTAGTTTGTTCTCCTTAGTTCGCAGGAAGGAAATGTCAGAGGGGAAGAAAGGTCCTTTCAATTTTCAAGACTGCAGAGACTATTGTAAACTTGACTTTTAAAAGTCAGGAGAAAATTATTATTATTACTGTTATCATTATTATTTTGCAGTGATATGCTCAATATGGTTCAGGTCTGTGGTGTCAAGAAAACTGTCAGCTTTTGAGTCAGGTTAACTTGGGATGGAATCTTTGCTCTGGCATTTGCTAGCCCCGTGGCTTGCTGCATTACTTTGAGAATGTTAGTTCATCTTTAAAGTCTTTTGCTCACTTGAGAAAAAAAGGATAACAGAAAGTACCTTGCAAGGTTAATTTGAGAATTTAATCATGTGCTAAATGAAGAATTGGGTTATAAAAACTTCCTGGTTTAAAGAAGAAGCAAGAAATTCTACAGACCACGAGAAGCAATGTAACATGTATCTTGCAGTCGAGTGTGGTACTTTTCCTCCCATCACTTCACTACCTTCTTGTGAACATGAAAGTAAACAGGTCCACTCCTAGGCTGCAACATGAAGTCAGCAGAGACTTGCTTCTGATTGCCAGCCTCTACTTCCTTGCCTCCTTTCACGATTGCTGGTGCCTTTGTCTCACTTTCAGGATCCTATCGAGTTCCTACTCCTTCCTTTCAAACCAAATCTAGAAACATCAGCCAATATTTTCACTAATTAAACTGAACCGGAATATGTTTTGTTTTTCATCAAGCTTTTACATTTATTAGTGACTTATATCTCAAATTATGCCATGGATCTGATGCAGAACATGACATACAGGTAGTAGAACTAGTATCAGAGCTTTGGGCCATGGCTCTGCTGCTTACAGTTGGCTTCAATGAACTTCAGTTTTTCTGGTCCCACATGGATCCATGATGATTTCTGAGGTCTCCTGGGTAGAAGCTTCATCACCAGCACCCCCAAGGAGCAGGAATCCTCTCCCTTAGCCCCCGCAGGCTTCATCCCAACCTGGGGCAGACTGGCCTAGTCCTGTTCCTTCTAACCTTCACCTAATACTCCCTTTCACCAACAAGACTCCCTGGTGCATATTCTGATAACTGTGACTTGTTAGATACATTTTAAATATTATTTTAATTTGTTACATTCACATGATCCAATATTAAAATACAAAAATGATCTGTAAAAAGTCTCCCACCACGTCTTCCTTCCTCCGTCTTTCTACTCTCCCACTAAATACAGGCGATCAGTGTAAATATGTTTTATTTGTAAACTGTAAGTACAGATATAAATTTTAAGATTTTCACCTCCAATATTGCATTTTATAAACACTGCTCTGTATTTTGACTATTTTCTTTTTCTTAGTACAGAAATAGCCCGCCCGTTTGTTTTTTTCAGCTGAATAGTGTTCCTTTACTTGAATATGCCTTAACTGTCTCCAAGTAGAATTTGAAGGATATTCTATCTTTTAATATTATTAATAATGTTGTACTGAATAATACTGTAATACTGTAAGTTTGTTCATAAATGTGCAAGTAGTTTTATAGAATACATTTCCAGGCCTAGAGTTGATGGATCAAAGCCTATATGCATCTGTAAGCTTAATAGATATCAACAAATTACCTCCATAGTGATTGTACTATAAGTGTTATGTTGTTTAATTTGTGTTTTTGTTATAATATGCGAGGTTGGACCTCTTCTCATGTATTTTTTTTCCTCTGCAACCTATTAGTTCATGTCCTTTGGCCATATTTCTACTGTGCCTCCTATAACTTAAATATTCACTGTGTAATGATATTTTCAAATCTTGCAATGCAAATTATTCCTAGCATTTATCAGGGTCTCTATCCATTTCTGGAAAATAAGAAAATTATTGGAATGGGGTTCTTTGTTGAGGAAAATATTACATTGCAGGTATAATTCACTATATCTACCAAGCCAACCTTTATGAAAATACACCAATTTGAATTTAAGTTTATTTCTACTCATAAACTCTTTTTTTTTTTTGAGTTGGAGTCTCACTCTGTCGCCCAGACTGGAGTGCAGTGACTGCTCCCGGTCACTGCAGCCTCGACCTGGGGGGCTCCGGCGATCCTTCCGCCTCAGCCTTCTGAGTAGCTGGAACTACAGGCGTGTGCTACCACGCCCAGCTGATTTTTTTTTTTTTTTTATTTATTGTAGAGATGAGGTCTCGCCAACTTGCCCAGGTGGGTCTCAAACCCACGGGTTCAGGCAATCCACTCACCTCAGCCTCCCAAAGGCGCGGGATTACAGGCTGAGCCACCGAGCCCGGCTTACTCATAAACTCTTAAAAGGGATAGAAAATGTGAAGTAACATTACAAAATGAGAACAACTGTGGCCAGTATGCATGATCTTAAAACACAGAGAAATAGAAATATATACAGAAAATCAAAACAATACTACCATTTTATAACAATCAGAAATAATAGTGTCAGGAGAAAACCTCTAGCCTCTCCACCTACCCTATACTTCTAAAGTCTGTCACAAAGTCTTGTTCCATTTTGTTCAAGGGTCCATTTCTTGTTTGCTCAGCTTTTCTATGAGTCTGAACACAAGGAACAAACACCTGTTGATTTCTACTTGGACGATGGTCCAGGCACAGCTGGTATATTCCTGGTTTTCCAGGTAATTACAGAACTTTTGGAAGTACATTTTAACCTGTCTTCTGAGGTTCTCACTACCAAAGATACCACTTATCTGCTCTGCTTCCAGCCCCATGAGTGACTCTAGGTATTCCAGTTGTTGATGAAGTTCAATGAGAAATTTTTCCATGTAATTTTCCTCCCAACCATCCAGAGAAATATTTATTCTGAAGAGGTTGAATATCTGCAGAAGCATGTCGTGGAGAATTGCCATTGTGTGTCCTTTTTGGTACTGCTGAGGAAGCAGAAACTTTTCCCTGTGTGGTAGACACTGCAGAACTGATGAACTTTGCAATTTATTCAAGAGTTTTAAACTTTCTTGGTTCACTCTTCTTTGCTTGTAGAGAACCAGTTTCAATTCTAGCGAGAAGATAGTGGAAGAGGACAGCAACACAAATACAATTTCAAAAAAGTGTTTGATAATCATGGCGAAGGTGAAATATTCTACTTGTCTCTGTGCAGACTTCGTCTAACTTGAAACCGAGTGTTTGCCCTTCATGCACCTCGAACTATTCTGGAGGATGTTCTATTTCGTGAGTTTTGTTTTCTAATGTCATTTCTCCAGGTTTACACATTAGGTTTTCAGGTTCCCTTTTTTTTTTGGTGTTCTTGGAACATTTCCTCCACTTTCCCTATTGTGTTGGCTATTTGAGGAAGTAACCAAAATAACTTGTTTCATTGTATGCTTTCCTTGAGGCAATTACAGACTAGTCATCCAATACCATCTTTTATTACTCTCACTATTATGCACAAAGTTTCACTCAACACAATGTGCTTTCTAAATATTCAGTCAAGCGTATGAAAGTTCTTTTTATAGAGATTAAGCTTTTTAAAAAAATTAGTAGTCTTTCATGGAGTAAAACCTATCAGAGGATTAGCAGCACCTATAAGGGACTCAGGAACAAAAATTAAAATACGGACAGAATGCTAAATTTAAAATTTCAAGTAGAACTATAAATTTGCACAAATGCTTGAACAAATTAATTTTAAAATGATATGCAATAGCAACCTTAAATTTAATATTTTAAGTTTAATAGCTAAGATTCTAGCCTATAGATGTGATGTGAAAAAGAAAAGAAATTAGCAAAAGAAGGTTGTTGAAATATTATTGCAATGGCAGAATATTAGAAACAACCTATGGGTCCAACAACAAGCGAATGGTTGCATATATGTTGGTGCATCCATACAAATAAATGATATGTAGTCATTATAAATGATAAAATGGTATGTGAGAAGAGATTGGGGGCATTCGGTTGGTCTGTTTTTCCTAGGATAACAATACTTGCTAAACTACTGTGAACATCTCCACATCCATAATGCCTCTTGAAATAAAAACAGCCAGCTCTGTTTTCTAAGTTCCTCTTGAACAAGCCTCCATCTACCTTTCCAACCTTAATTCCCATTGTTGCTCTAAATGTGTGAGAGAACCTGAGTTCCAGATAAAGTAAATGACTCACTATTCCATTAACACAGCTAGCATTTGTGTGTGTGCTCATTGATAATGCTTTCTCTGTCTGAAACGTCACCTGTTGCCTCCTTCACTTCAAGTAGCTGTCTGTGCAAAAACTAAGAACTGCTTAGTTCCAGGTCTCCTCTAAGGAGCTATAATCTCTTTTCTGGATCCCCACAGCACTTTGTACCTCCTTTAAAACACCTTTCTTGTTCTCCTATATTTGGCTATTTGTTTGCCTGTTCAAAGACTCTTAAGAGTGTGAAATAAATACTGATCTTTGTTACTGTCTATACAACTGTAGTAGTTGCTTAATAAAAATGTGTTGACTTAGAGTAAATTAATATGTTCTACCATAAAGTAATACAAGAGGTTGAGTCTTATTTTTATCATTTCTCTGCAGGCAGTGAGGTGAATCTCTAAATACTGAAAACAGATACTTTGTAAACATGTATGGTCTCATTATATACCAGTTCAGCTCTATGTTTGTGTCACTTAGTCAGTCTGGTATTAATAAATGGAAATAAACTGAGTCACCCTGTACCATGGAAGAGTCTTTTCCCTATCTTTGAAAGACAGAGGAATGCACATGCACGCACGCACACGTGCACATATACACACACAGCGAGAACAAGAGAGAGAGAAGAAAAGACCTATGATAAACTATAATATACAAAAGGAATAACACTCATTTTGATAACCTTCTGCTTAAACAATCTGGACTTAATCTATCAGGTGAATTTTGACTGGTCTCAACATAAATCTTTAAATATTTAATGCAAGCCAGGCTCGGTGGCTCAGCCTGTAATCCTGGGCCTTTGGGAGGCTGAGGTGAGTGGATTGCCTGAGCCCGCGGGTTCGAGACCGCCTGGGCAACTTGGTGAGACATCTCTACAATAAATAAAAAAATCAGCCGGGCATGGTAGCGCATGCCTGTAATTCTGGTTACTCGGAAGGCTGAGGCGGAAGGATCGCCAGAGCCTAGTGGGTCAAGGCTGCAGTGGCCGGGAGTGGCCACTGCACTCCAGTCTGGGTGACAGAGTGAGACTCCAACTCAAAAAATAAAATAAAATAAAATAAAATATTTAATTCAGAGCTTTAGGAAAACAATATAAAGATAAATAAAGAATATTAGAAGTGACTCTATCAAATGAGAATGAGCTCTGATCTAAAATCAAGTCTTTCTTATTGTTTTCATTTAACTGACAAAAATGATCTTAGTGTTGCTTAATTGCCAGATTCTCAAGGATTTTCCAGATATCTTTCTGTTACTGATTTTTAATTTGAATCTGTTGTAGTAAAAGAATATAGTTCAAATTTATTGAGACTTATTTTATGGCTCAGAAATGGTTTATCTTTATGAATGTTCCTTATAAACTTCAAATAATTATATTCTACTTTTGTTGGTTGTACATTTTAGAAATGTCAATGAAGTCAAGTTGGTTGAAAGGACTATTAGAGATAAAGAGGGAAATTTCAAAATAAAAGGGTAAATTCATTAATAGGACATAATGTTTCTAAATGTGATGCAACTAATAATAGACGTTTAAAGTATATGAGGCAAAAACTGATATAACTGAAATGGGAGACAGACAAATTCAAAATAATTGAATATTAGGTAATATTCCTTATTGTGAAATCAACTTTGTTATATATATAGGTATATATATATATATATATATATATATATATTATATATATATATTCATGCTTTCTTTTGATTAGTGTTTGCAAGATATATCTTTTTTGCATCCTTTTATTTTTAATGTATCCATGTTTTGGTATTTAAAGTGGGTTTCTTGTATATAGCATAAGGTTGGACTTTGCAATTTACTCAGTCTGACAATCTTTGCTTTTTATTAGAGCATTTAAGCCATTATATTTAACATGAATGTCTGTATGGTTGAGTTTATATATACCATTTTACTGTCTGCTTTCTAATTGCCCATATGTTCTTTCCTCTTTCCCTGTTTTCCTTCCTTCTTTTGGATTAAGTTGTTGTTGTTGTTTACTGCTCCACTTTATCTCCATTATTGACTTATTAACTATACCACTTTGCTTTATGTTTTTGTTTTCCTAGTAGTTTCTGTAGGGTTGAAAATATTTTTATTTTTATTTAACATATTATAGTTCACTTTTAAATAATATACCACTTAAAGCATAGTGAAGGAAATTACAAAAATATACTTCTATTTCTTCTCTCCCATTCTTTGTGCTATGGTTTTCATATATTTTTATTTTAAATCTCATATACATTGTAATTATATTTATCTTAAATAGTCAATTATATTTTACAGGGTTTTTTGATGATGAAATTATTCTTTTATTTTTTACTTACATATTTTTCATTTTTCCTTATTTACCATTATTACCCATTTATTACCATTTCTGGTGTTCTTCATTCATTTTGGTAGATCTAAATTTTCATCTGATATCATTTATCATTTTCCTTTCTGAATAACTACTTTACGAGATTTTTTAAGTCCTTTAAATATAGTTGGAATTTGTTTTAGGGCATAAATTACTTGGAATTTGACTCCATTGATACTTGCTTTTAAGCTTTGTTAGCATGTATGAAACAGACTTTATAGTCTAGGGTAATGTCTTCCCACACCAAGGATATAACTTTGTAAGGATTCTATTTAATGCTCACTGTATTAGAAGGTCTTTGCACTCTGGCTGGTGGAAACATGAACTATCCCCAGCCCTGTGTTAGCCCTGACGATAGTCTGTCAGCTCCTTTGTGGGTGTTTTTTTCCCCAGTCTTGGGTAATTTTTTTTTTACATACATACACAGATCCAAAGTTTGCTGAAAACTCCTGGAGATACTTCAAGTCTCTGTAACGACTCCTTCTTTTCTTGCCAATCTGCCCTCAAACAGCAGCAATCTCTTCTCCAATATTTGGCTGCCTCTCTGAACTCTAAACTCTGACTTATCAACTCAGTGAGAACACTAGTCTGTTTGGTTTTCTTCCTCCTGGTGCTGAAGCCTAGAAATTTTCTTCACAGAAGAAGTTGGAGCAATAGTAGGGTTCAAATCATTCTACAAAAAAGATATCTGCACATGTATGTTTGTAGCAGCTCTATTCACAATAACAAAAACATGGGACCATCCGTGTTGCCCATCAAAGCTGGACTGGATAAAAAAATGTAGTACATATACACAATGGAATATCATGCAGCCATAAAGAAGGACAAATATATGAACTTTGCAGCAAATTGGACAGATTTGGAGTCGATCATACTCGGTGATTTATCACAGAAACAAAGAACTGAGTTCCATATGTTCTCACTCATAAGGTGACCATGAACAATTATAATGCTATAAGAAAGCGATTGGCAGTAGCGGAAAACTGTCAGGGGAAGGGGGTTGGGACTGGAAGTTGAGGGAAACTGCTAGGGGAGGGAGGGGCATGCCTCATCAACAAGGGTACCTGCATGATCAATGTTTGTATATCTAACCCTGAATTATGCCCCACATCTTTATACTAAATAAATAAATTTAATTTAAAAAAATAGTAGGGCTCACTGCATTTTTTTTTCAATTCACAAATGTTATTTTTCTTTTTTTTGAATTGTACTCTACCTTGAATTTGTTCTTTACTTAGAATGATACCAATTACACACAAAAGCAACCTGCAGTCTGTGTAGGATCACAAAATCTGTATACCTTTTCCAAACCATCTTTGTGTCAATACCACACGTGTACATTTTCTCCCACGCTGAGTCTGTTTTTATGCTGGTGAGCACTTTGGTACGGGTTATTGCTATGGCCAACCCTCAGCCGTGGATCTGAAAGATCATATTGCATTCTGGCAAGGCCCAAATCACTGTTTAAGCCCCCTGAGCTGGTTGCACACACAGAAGGAGGTAAAACAATGAAACAGAAAAATGTTTCTGTTTATCAAGTTCTGGTACAACCTCTAGCCAGTCAAACACCCCGCCTATAGCATACTTTCCAGGGATAACACTCTTAA